CTCCATATGTTATTTTTAAATGTTTCTTGTTCAGGAGTTGGAACAAAGTATGGGCTTTAAATTCTAAAAAAAAAAAAATCACTCTTTCATATTTCATATTTTGCTTTAACATAGAAGTTCCTGCAGGACAGAGTACTTTTTAAAATAGAAACTTTAAAAAATAATTTTGTGTACTCTTGAGCGTTGTGCAATGTATTTGAGTATACTTAGCATACATGTTATTTCTTTATATTAATTCAGCCAGTTTTAGACTGGTAGGGGGAATGATTCATAGGTACTAATAAGTATAATTCAAAATGGAAGGTGGTAAAAACCTCTCCTTGTGCTCCCGTAGTAATTTGTGCCTACTCCTTCATAACAATTACACTGTTTACATTGCCCCCATATTTGCCTCTGAAAGGGTCTATCACAAACTAGATGTGGGGGTGGTAAAGAATGAGGTTTGTGCATTTTGGAAAAAACTTCCATGCTATTCTTTAGGTACATCACACCTTCCATCACCATCAACATCACCATTCTTCTTTTGAAAACTTCTACTCATCTCTAAACTCTTAGAAAATAGGAAACTGTATCTTATTTATCATTTTATCTCCAGCTCTTAGCTTTTTGTGGCATCCGTGCTTGTAAGGTAGACAGTAAATATTCCCAGCAGGAAGGTAAAACTAGGAGTTTAAAGGTAGGAGAGATTAATTTTGACTCGGAAGAGCATGAAAGACTTTATAAAAGGGTTACCCAAGAGGAGTTATGAAAAGAGGTGTTGAGCTAGTTTTATGGAAATGGATGAGAGCATTTCACACAAGAGGGATGAGCAAAAGCAGAGGCAGGTAAGTGTGGTATGTATTCCAGGAATTCTTGGGCAAAAATTTCAGAGTGTGTAAAGTGGGAGAAGCCTACAGAATTTGCCTGTGTTCAGTCGGATTGTGAATACTCTTGTATGGAATTGGAACTTCATTTGTAGGTGGTAGAGAGTCACTGAAAAATTTTTATCATGGCATACCTTAATTCATCTTATCATCAACTTGGTATATTTGTCACTGTGTAGGTGAGGTTATGGGTAGGTAGAAAGTGCAGACTGGGGCTTCAGTTAAAATTAGCATATTAGGTACAGTTAGAGTCTAAATTAGAATGACAGTGAAGAAAGAAGAGGGAATTGATGCCAGAGATATTTTAGAGGAAAAATCACTAAGTCTTGGCCTCTCTTTTTTTAAGTATCACATTTTTCATTTTAAAGTGGTAACTACATTCCTAATAAAGAGATTGTGCTAGTGAAAAGGAATGTTTTGACAGGTGAATACTCTTCTTTTGCAATTGAATTGCCTTGGCATTTATAGAAAATAAGTAAAGTTAATTGGATATCATCTTGATAATAATAGTAGAGTTAAGTGATGATATGTGTTGGAGGTTTATTTTATGTTAAGAATTAATTATAGATTAGAGACATGTCCAAACAAGAGAACAAGACAATAATTTGGACCTTATGTTTCTATAGTAGTGTATATAGGCCTTTTATGCTTTCTTTCTATTTATTAATTCAGGCATAGAAGAGTCTCAATTACGGCACACTCTGAATGCCACTTTAGAAAATTACAGAGGAATCAGTATACAATATGTTGATGCACCATTTAATATAACTACAAGAAACTGAGCTGAAATATTGAAAATGAAGGATATTCTTCTTGTCATCTTGTGAGCTACTTTTATCAGAGTATTTGTTTTATTTTAACAGATTTTAACTGACAGCAAAAACTAATGTCATCATCAGTGTTATTTTATATATGTTGCTAGTTTTTATAGTTTGAGGAAACAGAACATGATTGTGATTTATTCAGTTGTTTTTGCTCTATATTACTGTTGGTATCATTTCTCTTAAGTAGTTTGTTGACTTTATATAATATCGTGTTTGCTTCATGTAGGCTTTAGCTCTGGAAGCTCCTTTGTATTGTTTTAAAACTCTAAACCAAGACTTTTGATTTTTTAAGATGGCAGAGTAGAGACATTTATGCCCTCTTCTATCTGAAATTACCTGAAACAACAAGGAGAATGAGAGACAGAGATTACATCTTTGATGAGACCAGAAATCCTATAACCCCAAATCAAAATATTTGAGAAATGGTTGTCAAATGTAAGCAGAAGGAGATTAAAAGAGGATGCTAGTAGGAAGAGATCTCAAAGCTTGCAGAGCAACGTGTGAGAGATCATCTGTTCACAGTGGGTCAGGATGTATAGGAAGGCAGTGAGAGCGTCCTTGGATTGTTTGGCTGCATGAACTAGCAGGAAAGGAAGAGCAAATGAGAAAACACACAGATAAGCCATCTTTGCAGAACACACTTTCTTGGTGAGGCAAGAAGTGATGGCTAAACAGCTTTCTCTGTCTTGTTCTCAGACACATTCTCTTTGTCTCTCATTCACACACACATGCGCAAAACACTCTGTCATAAATGCTTTCTTGTACATCAGTGACTATCTTCTGGTCTAGAACCAAGCCTGCTTCTTCCTTCCACAGTCCTCTTGCAAATAACTGATCCTAGTAGAGTTCACATCGTTCACAGGTAAATAATAAAAAGGAAACAAGCACAGTATCTACACAAAAATGCTGCAAGAAAAAAGGAAAAAAGAAACAGGGGAAAACAAGTGAAAAAGAACCCATGAGAAAACTGTATTGGCCTAACAAATGTGATGAAACAATCACTTCTTGAAAAAAATAGACAAAGTTTATTGACCAGGGAGAAATAGTAAGACAACAGGATCTGATAAATCATATTCTGGCAGAGCTCAAGAAAGAAAAGGAGAAAAATAAAATCAGAAATAAATGGCCATATTGGAAGCAAAAAGAATTAACATTGTTGAGAAGTCAGAAAAGGCCATGACGACAGGCTTTTGAAAGTTGAACAAAGTGAAATGAGAATGAAAAGAGATGAAACAAAAGCCCAGTTGTGTTCTGGAAATAGAGAATTCAACATTAGACCAGAAAAATATTCAAACATATAACTTAAGAAACTTCCCACTAAAGAAATCTTAGTTCTACAGATCAAAAGGGCATGTAATAAAAATTAGTATACATTAACCCTTGAACAGTGTGGGGATTAGGGACACCGAGCCCCCCCCATGCAGTTGAAAATCTCTGTGTTAACTTTTGACTCCCCAAAATTTTAACTACTAATAGCCTACCATTGACCAGAAGACTTATTGATAACATAAACAGTTGATTAACACATATTTTGTATATGTATTATATATCGTATATTTGCAAGAAAGTAAGCTAGAGAAAAGACAGTGTTATTAAGAAAATCATAAGGATGAGAAAATACATTTACAGTACTGTAAAAAATCCACGTATAAGTGGATCCATGTAATTCAGACCCGTGTTCAAGAGTCAGCTGTACAGTCATCAACATCAATATGTAATCTAGTTTTTAAAAAATTGGATTTCAGAGGTAAAGAGTGCATTCTCTGTTCACACCATTAAAAGGGTCAATTTACCTGTAGGGGAGTCCTGGGGGAAGGATCAGATATTGTCAAGGGGATATTTAGCATTATAGAACAGTGGTACAAAGCCTATAAGTCATCAGGGGAAAGAAAGTATGATCTCAGCCAAACTATCAGTTGACAAGTGTATTTGAACAATGTAAGAACTCAAGGTAAATAGTATCTATAAGTTTTTTGATAAAGTATAAGAAGATGAATTTCAGCCATCCAGTAGATGAATGGAGATGATTCAGCAAAAGGATTGGCAGGAAGGTAGGATGAACAAGAACAAATTAACTGTGAGATTTGTAGTAACAGAGTATAATAGAACTGTTACAGGGTAGAAATAACTAATAAAGTCAAGAATGAAGGAGGAGAAAAAGCAGGAGAGTAAGTATAAATTTGCTGATTTCCTCTTATTTGTCAGCTGGAGAACAAAGGACAAAAAGTTTAGACATCAAGTAATGGAGGTGTTAGTATATTTAAAGGAATAAAGATGAACACTTGAAGAACTAAATATAATATGTTTAACCAAAATCAAATAGTGCATAGGAGGTACAAAGAAGTAGAACTATATTAAATTTCTTATCTTAAATAGATGCAACCAAAGATGAAAGAATAAAAATTTTTATCTTTACACTTTACATTTGCAAAAAAACTGAAAACATATATGGGATATTTATAAAAACTGACCATATCCTAGATCACAAAAAAACAACAAAAAGCTATCATACAGATGATGTTTCTTCTTTCTTTTTTTTTTTAAAGATTATTTATCAGAGAGCGAGAGAGAGCACAAGCAGGGGAACAGCAAGCAGAGGGAGAGGGAGAAGCAGGCTCTCTGCTGAGCAGGGAGCCCGATGCGGGACTCGATCCCAGGACCCTGGGATCATGACCTGAGCTGAAGGCAGCCGCTTAACCGACTGAGGCACCCAGGCACCCCAGATGATGTTTCTTGACCAAAAATTTTCTCAATGTCTTCTATGGAAGTGGTTCTTAATATGGTCAACAGCATCAGCATGGCCTGGCAACTTGTCAGAAATGCAAATTCAGAAGCCCCATGCCAGATCTACTGAATCAGAAACTGTAGGAAAAGCCCCCAAATCTCTGCTGGTCAGGTTTTACAGATATCCCATTTATGTTTGTTATTTGCAGTTGTTATTTGTAGAATGCCATGATAAATATTTTTGTTCTTTCATGTTTGGTCTCATATCTAATTATTTAGGAGAGGAAATTAGTAAATCAAAGAATGTTCCGTAGAACTTTAGGTAACTTTTTCTTTGTTGTAGTGCTGGTTATTAGAGGTGGAAAAATTAAAAGTAGGTTTTGTTTCTTTAGAAATATCTCTTTTGTTTACAATATCTTTTTTGTTTACAGAAAGCAAGATTATCTTCTTATTCAAAAAAGATGAAACGAACACGGTTACTCTCAAAAGACAACCAAGTGAGCACCTTAGACTAATGAGTAGAATCAATAAGAACGTGATTTTGGCGCTTTTAACTTTGACAAGTTCTGCATTTCTACTGTTTCAGTTGTACTACTACAAGCACTATTTATCAGCAAAGGTAATATTTTTTCTCTTTTCTCATCATTAGGGAAATTAGTTTATTTTAGTACAGTGTACTTCTCCCTCCCATTCTAGGGGAGGATACTTCTCTGTTCTAGTTGACCTTGACCATGAGACTTACTTTGGCTCGTGGAATATTATAGACATACGCAGAAATTTCAAAGGGGCTGTTATGGTATGACTTGCCCTTTGTGTATCCCTGACTTGCCAGGAGAAGAATGTGCCCTGGGTAGATCCTGTCCCTCCAGTCTGGGCCCTGGATGGGATTTATGAAGCAGACCAAAGCATAGCTTCCTGGCTGACTTGCAGATCTGACAGAAAATAAATGCATATTAGCCTTTAAGACTGGGACAAGCCCAACTGGAGCTACCCAGGCACCCCTATGAGCTATTATTTTTATTATTATCTTCAATTTTATAATCAGAAGTAGTATTTGTTATATCATGTCCATGGCATACAAATTGCCTTAGTAATAAGCACCATATTCATTAAGCAGAATTGAACAAAATAAGGCATAAAATTAAATAAAGCTCAGTAAACCTGTATACTATTAAATTTGCAAAGTTTGTATTATTTGTATTAGAGTTCTTGTTTTTTATGTTCACTATTAAAATAGGTAGAAATGATGACATCTAAGTTCTGAAATACCAAAGGTTACTTTTATTAAAAAATATGGAAAATACATTAAGCTATTCCTAATCAAGTAATTTTGCATTCTATAAAATGGAGCTTTAAACTTTATTAATTCAAAACTTTATTTAAAAGTTGCCATTTGCCAGGCATTTTGACAGGGTGATAGAAGCAATGAGAAATGGTTCCTCTCTTCCATTTATTTATAATTTGTTGGGGATGGATGCTACTGGAAGTATAGATGCTTCTTGTATGTTATTAGTGTGAAGATAAAATATTATCTATAAGGAATACTAGTAGTTTATGCCAACAGGAAAAAAATTCTTTATTTAAAAATAGTAGGTGTAGTTAGAGTAATAGATGCTGAAGCTCCCAACTTTTTATTTTTTATTTATTTTTATTGTTATGTTAATCACCATACATTACATCATTAGTTTTTGATGTAGTGTTCCATGATTCATTGTTTGCATATAACACCCAGTGCTCCATGCAGAACGTGCCCTCTTTAATACCCATCACCAGGCTAACCCATCCTCCCACCACCCTCCCCTCTAGAACCCTCAGTTTGTTTTTCAGAGTCCATTGTCTCTCATGGTTCGTCTACCCCTCCGATTTCCCCCCCTTCATTCTTCCCCTCCTGCTACCTTCTTCTTCTTCTTTTTTAAAATTTTTTTAATTCTTTTAATTTTTTTATTTTTTAAAGATTTTATTTATTTATTAGAGAGAGAATGAGAGAGAGCACATGAGAGGGAGGAGGGTCAGAGGGAGAAGCAGACTCCCTGCCGAGCAGGGAGCCCGATGTGGGACTCGATCCAGGGACTCCAGGATCATGACCTGAGCCGAAGGCAGTCGCTTAACCAGCTGAGCCACCCAGGCGCCCTTCTTTTTTTTTTTTTAACGTATAATGTATTATTTGCTTCAGAGGTAGAGATCTGTGATTCAGCAGTCTTGCACACTTCACAGCGCTCACCGTAGCACATACCCTCCCCAATGTCTGTTACCCAGCCACCCCATCCCTCCCACCTCCCACCACTCCAGCAACCCTCAGTTTGTTTCCTGAGATTAAGAATTCCTCATATCAGTGAGGTCATATGATACATGTCTTTCTCTGATACATGTCTTACTTTGCTCAGCATAATACCCTCCAGTTTCATCCACGTCGTTGCTGATGGCAAGATTTCATTCTTTTTGATGGCTGCATAATATTCCATTGTATATATATACCACCTCTTCTTTATCCATTCATCTGTCGATGGACATCTTGGCTATTTCCATGGTTTGGCTATTGTGGACATTGCTGCTATAAACATTGGGGTGCACGTACCCCTTTGGATCCCTACATTTGTATCTTTGGGGTAAATACCCAGTAGTGCCATTGCTGGATCATATGGTAGCTCTATTTTCACCTTTTTGAAGAACCTCCATACTGTTTTCCAGAGTGGCTGCACCAGCTTGCATTCCCACCAACAGTGTAGGAGGGTTCCCCTTGCTCTGCATCCCCGCCAACATCTGTCATTTCCTGACTTGTTAATTTTAGCCATTCTGACTGGTGTGAGGTGATATCTCATTGAGGTTTTGATTTGTGGATTTCCCTGATGCTGAGCGATGTTGAGCACTTTTTCATGTGTCTGTTGGCCGTTTGGATGTCTTCTTTGGAAAAATGTCTGTTCATGTCTTCTGCCCATTTCTTGATTGGATCATTTGTTCTTTGGGTGTTGAGTTTAACAAATTCTTTATAGATTTTGGATACTAGCCCTTTATCTGATATGTCATTTGCAAATATCTTCTCCCATTCTGTCGGTTGTCTTTTGGTTTTGTTGACTGTTTCTTTTGCTGTGCAAAAGCTTTTTATCTTGATGAGGTCCCAATAGTTCATTTTTGCCCTTGCTTCCCTTGCCTTTGGCGATGTTTCTGGGAAGAAGTTCCTGCGGCTGAGGTCAAAGAGGTTGCTGCCTGTGTTCTCCTTTAGGATGTTGATGGACTCCTGTCTCACATTTAGGTCTTCCAACCATTTTGAGTCTATTTTTTTATTTTTTAAAGATTTTATTTATTTATTTGAGACAGAGAGAATGAGAGAGAGAGAGCACATGAGAGGGGGGAGGGTCAGAGGGAGAAGCAGGCTCCCTGCCGAGCAGGGAGACCGATGCGGGACTCGATCCAGGGACTCCAGGATCATGACCTGAGCCGAAAGCAGTCGCTTAACCAACTGAGCCACCCAGGCGCCCCATTTTGAGTCTATTTTTGTGTGTGGTGTAAGGAAATGGTCCAGTTTCATTCTTCTGCATGTGGCTGTCCAATTTTCCCAACACCATTTGTTGAAGAGACTGTCTTTTTTCCATTGGACATTCTTTCCTGCTTTGTCAAAGATGAGTTGACCGTAGAGTTGAGGGTCCATTTCTGGGCTCTCTATTCTGTTGCATTGATCTATGTGTCTGTTTTTGTGCCAGTACCATGCTGTCTTGATGATGACAGCTTTGTAATAGAGCTTGAAGTCCGGAATTGTGATGCCACCAGCTTTGCTTTTCTTTTTCAACATTCCTCTGGCTATTTGAAGTCTTTTCTGGTTCCATACAAATTTTAGGATTATTCCATTTCTTTAAAAAAGTTGATGGTATTTTGATGGGGATTGCATTGAATGTGTCGATTGCTCTAGGTAGTATTGACATCTTCACAGTATTTGTTCTTCCAATCCATGAGAATGGAATGTTTTTCCACTTCTTTGTGTCTTCCTCAATTTCATTCATGAGTATTTTATAGTTTTCTGAGTACAGATTCTTTGCCTCTTTGGTTAGATTTATTCCTAGGTATCTTATGGTTTTGGGTGCAATTGTAAATGGGATTGACTCCTTAATTTCTCTTTCTTCTGTCTTGTTGTTGGTGTATAGGAATGCCACTGATTTCTGTGCATTGATTTTATATCCTGCCACTTTACTGAATTGCTGTATGAGTTCTAGCAGTTTTGGGGTGGAGTCTTTGGGGTTTTCCACATAAAGTATCATATCATCTGCAAACAGTGAGAGTTTGACTTCTTCTTTGCCGGTTTGGATGCCTTTTATTTCTTTTTGTTGTCTGATTGCTGTGGCTAGGACTTCTAATACTATGTTGAATAGCAGTGGTGATAGTGGACATCCTTGCCGCATTCCTGACCTTAGGGGGAAAGCTCTCAGGTTTTCCCCATTGAGAATGATATTCGCTGTGGGTTTTTCATAGATGGCTTTTATGATGTTGAGGTATGTACCCTCTATGCCTATACTCTGAAGAGTTTTGATCAAGAACCGATGCTGTACTTCGTCAAATGCTTTTTCTGCATCTATTGAGAGGATCATATGGTTCTTGTTCTTTCTTTTATTAATGTATTGTATCACATTGATTGATTTGTGGATGTTGAACCAACCTTGCAGCCCAGGGATAAATCCCACTTGGTTGTGGTGAATAATCCTTTTAATGTACTGTTGGATCCTATTGGCTAGTATTTTGGTGAGAATTTTTGCATCCATGTTCACCAAGGATATTGGTCTCTAATTCTCCTTTTTGATGGGGTCTTTGTCTGGTTTGGGGATCAAGGTAATGGTGGCCTCATAAAACGAGTTTGGAAGTTTTCCTTCCATTTCTATTTTTTGGAATAGTTTCAGAAGAATGGGTATTAATTCTTCTTTAAAAGTTTGGTAAAATGCCCCTGGGAAGCCATCTGGCCCTGGGCTTTTGTTTTTTGGGAGATTTTTGATGACTGCTTCAATTTCCTTAGTGGTTATAGGTCTGTTCAGGTTTTCTAGTTCTTCCTGGTTCAGTTTCGTAGTTGATACATCTCTAGGAATGCATCCATTTCTTCCAGGTTATCTAATTTGCTGGCATAGAGTTGTTCATAATATGTTCTTATAATTGTTTGTATTTCTTTGGTGTTGGCTGTGATCTCTCCTCTTTCATTCATGATTTTGTTGATTTGGGTCATTTCTCTTTTCTTTTTGATAAGTCTGGCCAGGGGTTTATCAATCTCGTTAATTCTTTCAAAGAGCCAGCTCTTTGGTTTGTTGATCTGTTCTACTCTTCTTTTGGTTTCTATTTCATTGATTTCTGCTCTGATCTTTATGATTTCTCTTCTCCTGCTGGGTTTAGGCTTTATTTGCTGTTCTCTCTCCAGCTCCTTTAGGTGTAGGGTTAGGTTGTGTACTTGAGACCTTTCTTGTTTCTTGAGAAAGGCTTGTATTGCTATATACTTTCCTCTTAGGACTGCCTTTGCTGCCTCCCAAAGATTTTGAACAGTTGTGTTTTCATTTTCATTAGTTTCCATGAATTTTTTCAATTCTTCTTTAATTTCCTGGTTGACCCATTCGTTCTTTTTTTTTAAAGATTTTATTTATTTATTTGAGA